GCTCAACAGTGTTGAAGGATTTATTTGTTTAGCAGAGTGATGGCGTTCAGGAAAAAACTATTCTTCTATCTGGTTGTCTTGGAGTACAGTGCTCTATAGCGTCTTTTTGAGGATAGGAATTGAAACAATTTATGTCCAATATGTGAGGACTCTGTAAATATTTTCACAGCCCTCTTTTTGACTTGTGCAGTATACAGGTCCTCAATAGAAGGCAGGCCAGTAGTAATTGTTTTTTCTGAAGTTCTAATTATCCTCTGAAGTCTGTTTCTGTCTTGTTGGGTTGCAGAACCAAACCAGACAGTTATAGAGGTGCAGTTGATAGACTCAATAGTTCATCTATAGAACTGTATCAGCAGCTCCTTGGACAATTTGAGCTTCTTGAGTTGGCGCAGAAAGAACATTCTCTGTTGTGCTTTTCTGATGACGTTTGTGATGTTAGGTGTCCATTTTAGATCTTGAGATATTATAGAACCTAGAAATTTGAAGGTTTCTACTGTTGATACTGTGTTGTCTAATATTGTAAGAGGTGGTAGTATGGGAGGGTTTCTCCTAAAGTCTACCACCATTTCTATGCTTTTGAGTGTGTTCAGTTCCAGATTGTTCTGGTCACACCACGAGGCTAGTTGTTAAACTTCCCGTCTATTATTCTATGTTCTAAATATTTATTGCTGAAAAACAAAATGCAGAAGTGCTCAAATCTGGATGATATCTTTGGCAATTTCGGGGGGGGGGAGAGAAAGTGCTCCTAAACAGTTTTCTACCAGAAATCTCTAGAAAGGGATACTGTAAAGTTTTCAAATTATTACCAGAAGATTATGCAGAATTATAAGTTTATAACAGTCTGTTATACAAAGTTGAAGCTGAATTCCTTAATTTGCACAGAGAATTATAGAAGATTTAGACTTTAGCACATCACAGATACATGAATCAAGAGTTCAGTGCAAATTCATAAAACATTTTATCCACTTGTACAGAAATAGAATAAAATATAAGTTTCTCTAGCTTTTAGATATCACTGGGAGTGGAGATTAAAGTTTCCAGCCTTCCATTACATGGTACTACAGTACCATAGACCTTCAATGCCATCTTTTTAGATCAAGGTCATTTGTTCAGATTAACATAATTTTTAATAATCTCAAGAAGTCAAAGAAGCAGTAATACTACATAGTAACACTTTAGGTTTTATAATAAATTTCATTGTAGATATGTATATACAGTATCATCTACATCTATATCTATATATTTCAAGCATCTTTTAAAAGAAATCTAAAGCAACATGCATAAGTAAGACAAGCAGCTATTGAAAAAACAGTACAATCAATGTTCTAATTACTTCATGCAAAGTATTTGGTGAAGAAATCAATGTCAGTTGATCCTAATGGCATTGTTTTAATGATACTTTAAGTTACAGAAGAAAAAGGATGTGTGAGTGAAGGACAATGTCAGCATTGACATTTTCAGAAAATTTGAAAAATAAACCAGAATGTGAATACTCTCCAGTAAGAGAGATATTGCATTAGAATGTATTAACAGCATTATAAATTATTTACTGTCCATGATTATGGTGGAGATTTCTATAATTTAACTGGACATCTGGCTATTTATTTCTGTTTATATCCATCTCTTTTAATCAACTGAAATCACAAATTATCCTGTTAGCTGTTCTGGATAGCTTACAAGTAAGTAGGCAGTCCAAGTCCAAGTAGGCAGTCCAAGATTCCAGCTGTGGAATCAGATGCTGACCCAATATATCATGCTATTGTGCTTTACTTACATCACCATCAATATTACAATACCTCCAAGGGAACATGTGTGGAAAATCTCAGGAAGTACATTAACTCTTCATCCCTGGAAATGTTGTCATATTCAATAAGTGTGTTTTAAAACAATAAATGTTTCAAACTATCTTTCACTATTTTGATCAATTCTGATTCTACTGATCAATTTTTTAAAACTATTATTCACTATGCATGAATGTTCTGTTTAATTTATATAGACAAAAAGAAATATTTCTTCTGTTTATGTATACAATTTTCAGCTAAGTATTTTGCAGACTGCTTAGTTTTTGCTAGTTAAAGGTTAAGATGACACAGGACTTTGCTTGTTAAATGTTAATATCCATGTTAAAGAGCAAAAGACTATGCAACAGAGATTGGCAAAATGAGGATATCACTGTAACAAGTTTCATAGATTTAAAGGTGCAAAATGTCCTCCCCCAGCAACACTTAAGGGGGGATGACAAGGGCTCAGCCTGATAAAGAGGCATCCCATTGTTGGAACACAAACTCTACCCCTCTTTTACATGCATTACAAATTATACACATCCCCAAAGAGGCAAAGTTTGCAGTGTAACAATTCAATATTGTTTTCATCATTTCACAAAAGCATAAGGCCAATGGATGCCACTAATCACCTATAGCTCAGAGCATCTTGTCAGTGAAGTCTACAAGAGGAAGGAAAGACAAAGTGCATCCTTTAGGCTTATGATATGTTAGCAAAAAGCCGAGAGTGATTTGTGCATAAATTATAGACTGTCAATGATCATTTCTTCTACTGATTTTGAAATGCTAAGAATAAAAAATTGTAAATCAATGCCCACTCCAAACTGATTCAGGACCCACAGTAACCAAAAAAAAATAAAAAATAAACCCTCTTATGCCATTCCACAAAAGAAAATTAAAAGTAGGGGAGAATACTTGCAATCTTGTGAACTGTATGCTAGCTCCTACAAGGGTTAAAAAAGGTAAACCATTATAAAAGCTTGTGTCAGTTTCACTCTTGCTGTTTTTCTCTGGATTCGCTACAAAGTTATCAAGTTAACTTTTCCCTTTCAGAAATTGAAGCTCAACAGCTGGAGAGAAGAAAGAATGCATTCAATGAGAAAACAGAGACCCAGATTCTCAAAGCAACCCACAAAATTCTAGCTCAGTGGTATGTACATCACAACTGAGGCAGAAATAATTCAGCTCTGCTTTCCCACTTTACCTGCTGCTTTAGAACATAAACATCTTTGTACTTTTAGAATTGTACATCCTGATGTGGAATTTTCTTTGACATACCAGCAAACTGTTCATGCCCCACTGTTTGGATAATACGATATGGAAAGGAATAGAAACCCTGCATCTTTCTCTTTTTTTCCCCCATATATAATAAGACACAGAAGAGTGGAACAAAAATAATAGTCCAAAAATAACTCATAGTCACACCAACCTGTTTTGGATACACCATTGATTCTTACCCCTATAAATACATCAGAATAGAATAGAATAGAATAGAATGGAATGGAATGGAATGGAATGGAATGGAATGGAATGGAATGGAATGGAATGGAATAGAATAGAATAGAATAGAATAGAATAGAATAGAATAGAATAGAATAGAATAGAATAGAATAGAATAGAATTTTTAACATAATCTAAACAGACAAATATTATCTACCAGATTATAACCCAATTCCAATATTTACAATAGTTATGACATTTGTTAATTGCAATATTAGGACAACTTCTTAAATCCCTTAAAACTAAAAAGAAACCCTACTACTAGTTTATATAGATCTCTTATCAATAAATAATTTGTTATCAATAAATCACTTTTATATGTAGGTACTGGGAAATGAGAGAAATAAGGAATTAGAGTTTCCTATATTGCTTTAGAAAACTATAGAGTGTTTTAACTTCTGTAACAAGAGGGTTAAATTACAACGTATACAACAAATAATAGTATTTTGAATTCAATGGACTCCATTATATTTGTATAGAAAAGAATTGTCAAAACACCATTTTGTTGGAGATATAATAATAATAATGGTTCGTTAAAATATGTTTTTACAATGTTTTACGTTTACTAAATTTGGCGGAAATGTACTGGATTATATAAATATAATTGAACAACAAAAACTGAAATTTTCAGGAGATATTCTTTTGAGTAATATAACTAGTATTTGGAATTTGACAACTGGACAATGTAAATGAATTCTCCAACCTCTTATTATGCCCAAAAGACTATTATTGCAGCAATAGAAAGGTATGTGTATGTAACCTTTCATTCAGTGGATGGAAGACCTAATTGCACTTGCCACCTATAAGTGGATTCCCTATAGATCTAGACCTTGTACAGACAAATATAACAAAATATGGGAATGATTAATACAAAATGCAGAAGGTTAACAACATGCTAGTTAATAATAGATAAATAATATTAATAAACATAATAAATAAATCTATTACAAATATATGTACTTGAATAATAACTGCATTTGTTAACTATACATAGTATAGCAACTATTTACTGCTAAAATTATCTATCTCTTTTTTCTTTCTCCTTTGTTGTATTTTTCAATTTTTAAAAAGCTTCTGGTGTCTTTTTTCCTTGACAATGTATATATTTTTATCTTTGTGTTTTGTTTTGTTTTTCTGTTTCTTGTCATTATTTAAAAAAAAACAATAAAAATTCAAAAAGTTTAAATCTATTATAAAATCACATTGGCAGTATTTTTTATAATTCTGGTTTGAAAAAGGTCCCTTCAGTTCTGTGTTTTTAAGTTTTAGAGCACTGGGCATATTTATATAAAAATCTTTTTATGTTCAGCATACTTTGTTTCCTAGGCAATGCACTTAAGATTATAGTCTTTATTTCCTTCACAATATTGGAGAGGTACAATCTTTAGATACCTGTTTCTTTACAGGAAAGGAAAGGAAAAATATACAATATTTAAAATATATATTTTCTAGCACACAATTTGCTACAATTTTAGCAAATGTTAGCAGTTCTCGATTAAAATAACAACTAGTATCCATAAAAAGAATTAGTGCTGTTTTGCCAAATTGTAGACTAATCGTTCCCAACCAACTCTACTTCAGAAGTACCGGAAGGTTTCAATTCTTAAAACCATGAAGCTGGTGCTGGTGGGTAATTTCTGGAGTTGTTCCAGCACATCTGAACAGTTACAAGATAGAAGAGGCGGTCCTGGAATCTAATTGGTTATTACTTTAAAGCAAGCCGTGAGCAGTGGCAGATTTCTTCACAATGTATGCTAGTTAAGAAAAAAGAAAAGAACAGGAGCATACAATGTAAGTGATTACTTACTTTTTCACCTATATTTCTTTCTAATGTGTTAAGAATGCTTTTGAATATGCATGACCATTTTTTAAAAAGGATTAATAAAAGCTGTAACAAACAACTTGTGAGAAGGCAGCCTGTTATTATTTATTGAGTATGCTTTACACAATATACTCAATATATGAACTGAATGTTAAAACCATTAACTTGACTGCTACAGGAAGAATTGAATTAGTTTCTGCTTCACTTCCATGGCTGAAAAACAGGAAAATTATGTATGTCTATATACAAAGCTTGTTTTAATAATGTACATTTTTTTTAAAAAAATCCAGCACTTAGTCCAGCACAAATCCCAAATGACATGATGGCATCCATGCAGAGAGAAAGATGTAAAAGCCTTAAATCATGCATTAGCCATTCTCAGGGTGTTTTAAAATTTATTTATGTATATGCATTGTAATCATTAAAGTAGCAGAGACTGGTGCATTTTTGAAACTTTTTTAATATGTCCTGCATTGTTCTGCAAACTCAGTGACTACCCTCACTTTCTAATCTGAAAAGGGTTTAAAATGCCTCATATTTTTTTTTTCTCTGCTATTAACACATATGCGTGAGGCCACAAGGTCTAATGAAAAAGGAGAAACTCACAAGACCTTTAATCACTTCATAACAAGCAGAGAAATTTTGTAAAATAATAAATGAGAATGGTTAGGAAAATAATGCAGAAATCATTCTCGGTACAACAATAAGATTATGCATTTTGTTCTAGTATGTCAGGATTATAGTAGTCTAGAAAATGACCTTCATTAAGAGTTAAACATTTAACAATGCAATTCCACAGTCACATAGATATCCTTAGAATGTACTTTGATAAGATTGCATAGTCCTAAATTCCATATGTTTAAATCAATACTGCATACATCAGAATGCCTATTTCATTCTCGAGAGAACATACTCAACCATAGCAAAAGCAAAAATCTTATATATGTTAAATATATCGTTCACTAATTCACTTTACTTCTCTTTCTCCTAGACAAATGAGTGAATGAACCTTGAGGCATTAAATTGTTTCTTTTGACATTCTGATGAAACAGATTCTTCAAATTCCTGTGATACCTGGAGGAGAGAAACAGAGACAACAGACAGAAACAGAGACAGAGGCCTTAATAAATCACCATATACTTCCATACATTTTGAAATGATGCTTTTATGTTATTCATTACATAACTAATTCTGAGTATCCTAAAAAATTAAAACAATGTTGTTATTCTATGCGAGGAAGAAAATCTGTTTAGCTGACCAACAAGTACATATAAGAGTAAGAGGAATCTACTGTTTTCAGCACTGAAAATCAGTAGAATCTTGAGACTCTTACAATATACTTTTGTTGTTTTAAAAATTATTTTATTTTAGGCGATGCCACTATACTATATAAACTGAAAACATACTGAACATATGTCAATATATTTTATGTTCTTTCTTGGATTAAAATATGAAAATATTGATGTTGTATCACTTTTTCTATGCCATAAAAATGCTGTGGTTTTTTTCACTGAGGTGATATAATCAGTAGTAGAGTAGAGAATAGAGAGTACAGAGTAGAGTTGGTCTCTAACAGAAAGCCACTTGAAGAGACTAGAAGCATTTGAAATGTGGATTTACAGACGGCTGTTACGTATAAACTGGATTGACAAAATTAGAAATCCTCCAAGGAAACATTGAAGGCAAATGAGATTCATGCAGAAGAAGACCATCATGGCTTCAAAATCTAAGGGACTGGTTTGGACAAAACTCAGCAGTACTTTTTCATGTGGCTGCTGATAAAAATAGGATCGCCAACATGATCACCGATGTCTGATGACGGATATGACACAAGAAGAAGAAGATATAATTAGATGTCCAAATGCTTTTAATAGTTCCTTATTTTAAACATTAAGTGCCAGATATTTTTGAATTTTGAATAAGAAGTAGCGAAAGGAAAGGAAAATAAGGTGATATATCAGTCAGCAGTACAAGTAAAACAGCCTTAAGGCAAATTGTTCTTTGTTCTCATGAGAGAACTTGAATTCTGCATTTCTACAGCTGTTGTAACACTGCTTACAGGGAGATAGTGAAAGGAAGTACAAAATACATTTTTAATCCAACCAAGATGTTTTCTATATCTAACAGAAAACCAATTATTAACACTAGAAACATATCTATCATACTGACATGGCACCCAGAAAAAAACTCATTTGGGAGTATTTTTGGCCAAGTTTCTAAAGCAATGGACTTAAATTGCTTTTGACACATTTAGGTAGTAGCATGGGTTGGGGATATAGATAGCAAAAAATATTTTATTTGGCATGCAACGGCAGTCAAGAATTTCTGCTTGCTGTAAACATATCAAATAATAGATGGTACTTTGAGTAACAGAATTTAATTTAAACAGATTACATTTAATAAAAACATTCCTTATTTCAGATAAATATAAATAAATACTTAGGCAGGTAGTCCTCAACTTACAATCACCATTGAGCCCACATTTTTGTTGCTAAGCATGACAGTTAAGTGAATTTTCCATCATTTTATGACCTTTCTTGACACAGATGTTAAGTGAATCTCTGCAGTTATTAAGTTAGTAACATGGTTGTCAAGTGAATCTGTCTTTCCCACTGACTTTGCTTATCAGGAGGTCACAAAAGGGAGTCACATGATCCTAGGACTCAAAGTTGTAATAAATATGAGTCAGTTGCCAAATGTCTGAATTTTGATCATATGACCATGAGGATGCTGCAATGGTCATAAGTGTGAAAAATGGTCATGAGTCACTTTCTTCAGTGCCATTGTAACTTCAAATTATCACTAAATAAACTGTTGAAGTTGAGGAGTACCAGTATGCTGTTTATTTATTGCCTACTTAAACTAAGTTTCGGAGAATGCAACCCTCTTTAGGTAAGAGTAAGTTCCTTTCAGCAATGTCACTTACATCCAAGAAATTATGTATTGGAATGATTGTAAATACTGGGGAATCTTCCTTTTTTTCATGTCTAATCCCACCATTAGTAGTAAAGGTGAACATGTTAGATGCTTTAAAATTACACTCAAATGGTTCTTTAATTATGGTACATCTAACTTATTTGTGGCAGTCAGATAAGATTTATGACCTAACTATTTCTCTTATCAATTCACATAGGTTTAAATAGGTTGTCTCAGATTATATTCAAATACAAGAATATTATGTCTTTCCATCTTAATAATTTAAGTCCTTGAATTTTTATTTTATGGCTTCCTATTTATGAATGCAATGCATTGGTAATATTCCAGTTTTATACAACATTTGAGCTAAAGAGGCAGTGAGGAGGTTATAATGATTTTGTGGCATCCTGTCATGTCCCTATGGGAGCCTGAATCTGCTCCGAGCTGGAGCTGAAAAAGACCAGGGGGGTGGCTTCATTGGCTTTGGAGGAATGTGGGGAGGAGGCAGGCCAGGGCCCCTCAGGAGTGGGACCGCTTGCTAGGAGGGAGGAACAGGGGCAGGATGACCAAGAGAGGGCAAGCAGTGGAAATGAAGAGCGACTGGGTCAGGCAATGAGCAAGGACCACCCCTTCCTGATCCACAAGCATGAAGAGTGGAGAGGAGACAGGAACAGCGCAGGCTGACCCGACAACTCAGGAGAAGAGCACCAGACCCCACAAGGCACACCTGGGGACTGAGATTTAAGGAGACACTATGAGGAGGGGTGTTTGTCAGCAACAAACGCTGAATTCATGGAGTTTTGTGTGCTGTTGCTGACATTTGGAGTTTCCTGGACCTCTTGCTTTATTTCTTGCTTCCTGGATTAATTGCCTTGTTCCTTTGCTTCCTGGACTTATTGACTTATTCCCTTGCCCCGCTGGACTTCTTGCTTTGTAGCCATTGTGCTCGCAGCATTTTGCTAGACTGCTTGCAGCCAGAGGCTGCTGAAGGGGTGCATGTGTGTGTGAGAGAGAAAGAGATCACTTGCTCTGGGACTTGCCATAAATATGGGAGTGTTTGGAGGAAAATTGGAGCAATAAAGGGGTGGTTTGAACTATCAGCTGACTGTGTTGCCTCTGTGCCTTGTCCTGAGTCATCAAACATCCTTTTGAGCACCTCTTTAATTCAAATAAGTATTGTGGCTATTGTGCAAACCCAAGAAAATGTGTGATTGTTTTAAAAGCCGCCAGCAAGTGCAGTAAGCATTGCCACATCATCTTAGAAGTAGGGTTTTTTTTCATTTTTCATCCCAAAAGGTATACTTCACTATTTGGTGTAGATATATTTAAATTAGTAGCTGTTATTACTGTAAGGTTTGTAGAATTAAATATAAACCCACTCTGAAGACTTAAACACACTGCAACAACATGGAACAGAACAAAGGTTTAAAAGCCTTATTTGACCATTCATCCATAATCCTGCCCAAATCACAACAACAATCAATAAAAACATAGAAATAAACAACATTCTCACTTTATACAAAAGATATATATCACTCTTCCCACTACAGCACCATGACATCATCATATTAACTTTCATTTGCTGGGTTCATCCTTTGCCCAAAGCCCAACATTTCAGAAGATCTGGAATATTTTTGTGGTTTTCAGAAAGGCTAAGAGAACTTCTGGAGCCCTCCGGATTTCAGGAGGAAAACTGTTCCATAAATCAGGGCTGCTACAGACAAGGCATATGCAGATTTTATTATTGCAAGCGCTATTTTTACTGTCTGAAATGACATTTAGTTGCATGTTGCTTATGACAATCACATTCCTCTAAAGTAGATGAGGGAGTGGAAAGTTCCCAAATCATAATTTCATATTAGATTTTTAAGCTTCTTATCCAGCTTCCAATCTCAGCTTTAATGAGGAAAAGTATCTTTTTCTACCTATATGATTTATTATATGGTTGTATTACTAAATGCTAGCAATTTATTAAAGACAATTTGGGCATAACCAAATACTTTTTCCCAATGTTGTTCTAATTGCATTTTTCTACACATTCTCCCTATACATTTTTATTCTCTCAGTCCAAACTCTTTCTCATAAACCTTCCCCAATCATGACAGACATTTTGCTGTGAAAAGAAGCACTGACATTAAATGTTTTTGATACTGTGGTTTTATTGCTCAAAAGAGCATGTGGTATAGAATAGTTGACAAGACTGAGAGACTGTTTCATTAGTTCACGCAGAAAAGGTTTTCTTCCCTGCTCTGCTCACGTCATCTTGGGATGCCTGCTATGACATGTAGCAATAGCAATAGCACTTAGACTTATATACCACTTCACAATGCTTTTTATAGTCCTCTCTAAGTGGTTTACAGAGTCAGCATCTTGCTCCCAACAATCTGGGTCCTCATTTTACTCACCTCGGAAGGATGGAAGGCTGAATCAGCCTTGAGCCTGGTGAGATTCGATCTGCCAAACTACTGGCAGCCAGTGATCAGCAGAAGTAGCCTGCAGTACTTCACTCTAACCACTGAACCACCGTGGCTCATGTTGTGTGGTTTCTGATTGTATAACTTACGTTCGACCTCTGTAGCCACTTTCTGGCTTTTTTCTTCATATACGGTCATTGTTTAATCTCTGTCCTCTGAATGAATGCAACAAAACATATGACCCATCATTAATATTTCAACTATTTCAAAACTACATTTGTAAGTTAAAATATTGCACATGGTTCAACTTCTTTGCAAATTTGGGTCAACCACAAAAATCCTCATTTTTAAGGTGTTATGCTGTCATAATATATGCCATATAAAATGTTATTTTTGTTATTAAGTAGAATAGATTTTGTTTAAATCAAGAAAGACCCACAAAATACATATTTAGAGTTAAGAATCTAAACTCTTTCCTCCCTCCCTCCCTCCGTCCCTTGGAAAAAGTTCAAAATTCTTACCTATATCTATGGCCTTATATTACTTTATATATATGGAGAAGTATTACTTTTATTCACATTTGATACATAACATTATTTTACTTAGCAAACATGTTTTATGAGGTGAAACAATGTTGTAGATGCAACCTTTCTGCATTGAAAGAGCACTTTTGTAATGCAAACGGCAGAAAAAAATCAGAGCAGTTTTAATCTTGTATAGAATTACAGTATATTTTATTGGACATAATATGATTTTTGCAAGAACTGTGAATTTATGAAACTTAAGGACCAGCATTTTGAAATCCTGCCACATGTTTTGCAGTTCTATAAACATAAACAAGGATCCTTTAAATTATACAATTTAATAGTGCTTAAAGTTTCATATCATCTAATGTGTGCAGGCCTATGTAATTTGCTGGGCACGATTTAGTCAAAGTAAATCACCCTTTAAGCCCCATTAATTTCAGGATAAGAGTTATGGGCCTGTTTCAACTTTCTCAATTAAAATCAAAAGGCTTTAATACACTGAAGCACATCTTTATCCCATGATGCCAATAAAGGTGGATCACTGCAACCAATTAAATTACTGTTAACTGTGAAAATGAGCTCTTGCATTTTCATTTTTATTTGA